AGCTGGCCCGCCGCATCCGCGGAGAGAGGGCTTAAGCACAACCTCACTTGAAAACACAACGGCTCTTTTAAGAGCCACACAAACGATCCAAAGAGTACTAAGATCGGCACATCTCATGTATATCCTTTACTATAGTATCAACCTATTTCTGGCTTTAAGTGGCAGTGATAATATGAGGTTTTATATATTTTTAGTGAATGTTTACTATAACATCCATCCAAACATAAAATGTCTTCTGCACTTTGCAGGGATAATTTAATGTATGGTACACCAACACTACTCACCTAATTCCTCAGCAATGATTTATACCTTTTGATTAAAAGAATCCAAATTACTTAACTATCATTAATCGTTATCGATTAACAAAAATGGGCCCTTTTTGTGTTCATGTATCCAGATAAAGGCTGAAACAAACTGGCATCGAAACAGCATGTTCCAAGCACTTTTCATTACCATTTGCCTCGTGTCCAAATTTTTATTTAGGCAAACCTGTTGAACAACCATCATACGAGTCCTAGTTCCTGAGATTTTGTCCATTCACCAACAGACTTATTTCTATCGCAAAGCTCACTATGTGAGCAGGGCAGGTTTTCTAGCGTTTTGTCTGTTTGTTTGCAGTTAGAACGGCAGTTTGAGGCTAATCGAGTTTATACTTACTACATTTCTGGGTTCAACGACATGAATATATCACTGTAGACGTCCTAAGTTAACAATTTCATTATTACATTTATAAGTTGATGTTAAAAATACTATTTACTTGAAAATGCATTTGATTTATCGATCGCTAAAAACGTTACATTTACATGAGAGTCCCACGGCCATTTTGTATTTGTCTTGTTTTGTAATACGAAGAAAAAAGCCCCAGTAAAGAACTGGAGCTTAAAACGACTCCAGTCTTCATTTATAAGGAAGTTTAGCTGGTTCTTTAGCGGAACTAAAGTGAGGACGACACAGTTTGACTTCAGTATTGGAAGAACATTTATTAAACACAATGAGAAAACAAATATGTCAAATAACATACCCTTATTGTCTACATTATGAGTGCTGATACAAACATAGGCGTACGTACAGCGTGCTATGCTAGCCTACAGTTAGCTAAACGGTTCCGTGCTACGGTTGCTGTTTTACCGTCAGAAAGTCTCTCCATCTCACGGTGCTGCCTCAGATTTTCCTCCTTTATCGCCTTTTCCTGCAGAAACTTGTGACGAAGCTCGTTTGCGAGTCTCAGAGTTAACTTTGGTCGGCTGTCTGTGGACCCCTGCACGCCTACCACAGCGCATGCGCGTTGGTTGCAGCCATGTCTAACAGGATGTAAACACAGCCACGGGCCATCTCCCTAATTTCGGGTCTATAATGTCCAAACCGCCTTTTAGGAGCTCGTAGTCAGTAACAGTGTTTGGTTTCTGTTTCTGAGTCTCCTCAATCTCCACCGCCTGGTACCTGGTGCTCAGTTGACACACGGATTTGCTCTTTTTTGCTGCATACACAGTCAGCAAGGGGCAGCTTTAATGGAAATAACTGCTCATCAAAAGTCACATGTTGTCCTGGATTGTAGGACAGCACACCTAATCAAAATGGCCAACTTGGATGTGGGTTGGATCTCCATCTGTGGCTTCCTGCAGTCTGCAGCCAGACTTTTGAGTTTGCCCTCCAGTAAACCGGTCAGATGGCATTTCTTGTATAAAAATTCCAGCTCATGAAAACTGTTTTCATTGTACAGACCAGTTATCGTCTGAGGCTTGAACTGAAACTGGGTGTGGTTCTCCAACAACAGCCCTAATGGGCCATTTACATATGAAAAGTGATTCCTGAGCTGTCAAATACTGTGATTCTCGTATCTTTGGGCTTTCTACAACAATCCAGAGAGTACAAAATGCCTACCTACACATGTCTTTGTGTGCAGTGTATCAGCAGTTTCTATGTATTAAGAGTTTTGGGCAACATTTCCTGTCTGGGTTTGGAAATACGACTGTTTATATAGCAAATATAATAATAAACGTGATTTAATTACTTAAATAGATCCTTTAAATATCCACCTTTCTTTGCGGAGGCCACAGCTATTAGAAATTGCATGTATTTAGTTGTTACATTGAGGGGGAAATGGGCTCAGTGTGAACATCTAGTGTCCACCCACACAAACGAGACTCACACAGACCAAGGTGTCTGAAACTGAAATCTTTTTTGGCAACCACTGAAAAGCAGCTAATATAAATTTAATTTAAAAACAAAAACTGTATAGGCAATAGGCCATCTGAAAAGCAAATATAAATTTAATTTTAAGAAAAAACTGTATAAGCAATAGGCCCACTGAAAAACAGTTAGTAAAAATTAGATTAAAAGAAAAAATGTATAAGCAATGGATAGCTTGCTTATGGTGGCTTACTGAAGTCACCAAGTGAATTTAATTGGAGATTAGATACTGAAAAATAGGATAGTGTGGATTTTCAGTATCATAAAGGAACCATTTGTCTCAGTAAAAGTTGGGGCTCTCAGAGTACCATCCAGTGTCTTGAAAGTTAATGACATTATCCACTAGAAAAAAAAATTACACAAATTTGGTTTAAAGCAGTTATGCAAAGAAACTGTAATGTGGTTTTGGGCTAGTTATTCAGATATTTAAGAGATTTCAAAGTGATTAATTCTCTAAGTGTATGGCATGTTTCACATCACATTGAGGAACATTCTCTCAGGTTTTGTGGGTGGCTCTTAAAAGAGCCGTTTGGTGGCTGGGGCTGAGCGTCCAGCTTTACTTGGCCTTGGCGGGCTTCTCGGTCTTCTTGGGCAGAAGTACAGCCTGGATGTTGGGCAGCACGCCGCCCTGAGCGATGGTGACGCC